GAGCGGGGGAGAGACAAAAACTCCATCAGCCCGGACAATGCCACCTCTCGTTTAAAGCTTCCAAACTGTAATTCTTTCCCCCCATTACCACGGTACCAAGTAATCTGTCTTTCCCCCACCCCAACCCCCCTCCCTCCTCTTGGAAGATATGGAAGAGAAAGATAAAGCGGCTGCCGCTGGGCTCTGACTGCGCGCCGCCCGCATGCCGCTGCCGCCAGCGCAGGGGCCACTCCGCAGCTGCCGCTCGCAACGGGATGGGATGCAACTTCTGGTAACTGGATCACAGGTAGGAAAGCTTTTTACTGACGTTTACTCTCTCTGGTTTTTGTGTGTTTTATTTTTTTTCTAAATTTATTTTTTCCTCTCTTCTATTTTTTTTATCTTTTTTTTCTTCCCTCCCCTTTTCTTTCTCGTCCTCCACCCTCCGCCCCTTCTTCGCCGCACCTAGGATTTCATCCGCTGCTGTCATAGGAAAGCTCCCGCCAAGAAAATAATGTCCAAGAAACGAGCTTACGTTTTGCTTCCTGGTAGCAGGAGCAGAACAAAACATAGGGAAACTTTTGCTGAAAGGGTCCATAGCGGTGCGGGTCACTGGGGGAAAGACAGCTAGAGGAGAGAAAGCAAAGCGATTGCCTCCAGCACAGAGCCTTCCCCTGTTGAGTTACAGTTGCGATATTAATTCCAGAATCGAGTCTGCATGGTATAGCAGGGAAGGAGAGACGCAGTAGTCTGGTTTAGAGAAATCCTCGCATTTTCCAAGCTCTGTCCACGGGTCTTTATATAAATGCTTCATTCCAACACAGGGACATCTCCAGGACTACCCTTCCCAAATCCCGCTGTGACATGTATGTTGACGACTCCTGCAAAATGTCACCGGGGGCCGGGAGCGGTGCCGTCCCCGGGGAGCGGAGCCTGCCCGCGGGGCTGCCGGGCGGGAGGGCAGAGACGGGGCGGGGGGTATCCCTGCCCTGCCGGGACCATGCCGGGATGCGGGGTGTAAGGGGAGGAGGCTTCCGCTGTGTCAGTGCGATCCCTTGCTCCTCAGCATCCCTCCTGTGGGAAGCGTGCCCCTGCCCGGGGTCAGTGCCCGTCCCCGCTGCCTCAGATCTCAGGTCCTGTCTCGGGGAGGGGGAGCGCGGCCGCGGGGCGCCGCCGGAGGCGGGGAAGGGATGGGGCTTCCCCGGATCATTTCCGACCCCGTTTCCCCGGCTCCATGACCCTGGGGTCCTGTCCCCGGTGCGGCCACGGGACCGGGTGCTGAGGGGGACGATGCTCCAGGCCCGGGTCCGGCTCGCCCCGCTGTCCCGGCCCGACTGAGCCCCGGCAGGGCTGAGCCGGTCCCGGCCGTGCCTCCAGGATCCTGCTCCTTCCGCTCCTGCCGCCGCCACGGGGTGCTTGTGGCCAGAAGGAGCGAGCTGATGCCTGGAGGGGAAGTTCAGATCAAGCTGTGGGAGAAAAACTGCCTCCCAGAAACAGCTCTGGGGCACCGAGGTCCCGGTGCCCCCCCCCTCCCCCGAGTCCAGCCATTTCGGAGGCTCCGGAGGGACAAAGTGCTTTCCGGGACGGGGCTTCTCGGGCGCAAGTCGATCCCGGCCACCCCTCCTGCTAGGGCCACTCTTCGCGTCGCGCCGTCCCGCGGTCTGCACCCCCCACGTCCTCGCCGGCGATCCCGCGGCTGCCCAAGCGCCGGGGTGATGGCCCGCCGGGGGAGCAGGCAGGCTGGAAGCGGCGAAGCCGGCCTCTCCCCTCCACTCGTTCCTCCGCAAGGCAGCCGGGCCGCAGGGCCCTGCCCCAGCCGGCGAGGGGCTCCCGGAGGGCGGCTTTGCCTCCACAGCGCGGCCCGCCGCCAGCCCCGAGAGGAGGCTGCCAGGGCTTGTAACTCACTCCCGCGGGCTAGGGGTGAGCCTTTACCCCTTCGCTGGGCAAAGGACAAGGGACCCCTCCCACATAAGACTCTTTTTTTTCTAATATTTTCACATGCTAAAGTCCCTTTAGGGCAAGGAAAGGTAGGCGGGTTTTTTTTGGTGGTGGTTGTTTTTTTGGTGTGGTGGTTTTGTTTTTTGTTTGGTTTTGGTTTTTTTTACTGGAAAAGGACACTGGGGAAGGAGTAATTCTTATTGTAAATCTAGCCAGAACATGTATTTCCCCATTTCTATGTGTCAATCAGTGTGTTTGCACACATTGCCGTGTCCCTATCCCTTAAGGAAGATCTCCCCTTTGCAGAAACAAAAACAGAAAGGGGAAAAAAAAAAAAAAGGAGAAAGGCCAACCTCTGCTTGACAGTCTGCTCTTGCATTTTCAGGGGGGAAAAAAAATCCAAACAAAAATAAGACTGACAATGAGGAAGGTAAATATGGGAGATCAGAAGCATGCATGCTGTCTGCTTTTATGGTATTGCATCGTCTGCAATCGTGGCCCCTGTCTAAATACACACCAGCCTTGATCATATGGTTTATGACACCAACTGCTCTTGGTGACTCATCTATAAACTGTGTTAAGCTACACTAGTATACTCCCTCTCTTCTTTAGGCTGTTTTTGATTATAACTTTGGTCTAACTTCCCCCCTGCAGCACCCCTGGACTGCAAAAGCAGCCGTTTGCTTTTGCATCAGGAAAGCAAGAAGTGCAGTGGGCTTGCTGACTTGGTGAGCATGTGCCCCACTGAGCTGCCCTCTTTGCTCCTGTCTGCAGCGCTCCATGATTTCTGCATTGCAGTCCACTTGGAAAAGGGGTTCAGTACATGGGGAGGGGGGTCCAGGATGTCCTCGCATTGCTTTGGGTGGAGGGTAAAATAATAAAAAAGAGAGATCATGCTCTTTTCCTATCCAAAACCAAGGTTTTGAGTAATATCCTCCACCCAAAAGGTTCTAATTCTGCATCTGGGCAGAGCTTGGGGAGATCTGGACCATGGGTGATCAGGAGTGTCCCGAGGAGGTGGAAGGGGCAGCAGCCGTGCAGTGCTGTGCCATCGCCCAGGAGGGAGACCAAGACACAGAAAGGGGGAAAAAGAGGTAATCAGTGAAAAACACCGTCTGTGAACAAAAGATTTATTTTTTTTTTTTTTTGCCTGTGTATTGGGTGCCCAGCCCCACTGTCATTTTTGGTTGACACCTCTGGACTGAATCCCTGTGTGCATTTCATGACTCTCAGACTAAGTTCTTGGACATTTTAGTCCATTGGGTGTCTGATTCAATAGTCTTTTGAGGACATCTACTATGAAATTTCCCACTGTTGTTGCTACAGACCCAGGCGGTTACTCTGCCTCACTTCACTCCTTGTAACCCACTCACCCGCTCATCCAGACTTTCTCTTCTCCATTAATATCATGACCTACATGCAAAAGACTTATTTTCTGGTCCCGTTTCCATAGCAATGCAGCATGGGGAGCACAGACAAACCAGTAATACTGAAGCAGATTCCCTTTCTGTGAAATCAAGACCTCTTTGAAAGTTGAGTTCAATTTAAGGGAAAGTAGGGATCTGCGGAGAGTTGGATTTTCAGTCCAAAGCCCAGATCCCCGCGCCCTCTAGTGCCAGAGGCAGATGAGAGAGAGTGTTCCCGGACACAGAGGATGCGAGATTTGATAGGGAATTACAGGCAAGGGAGAGAAACAAGTGGTATGAGATAAGGGCATTCCTCCCAGTGTCTGTTTCCAATCAGCTGTTCTCTCTTCTAAATTCCAATTTGCAATAAAAGGCAGGTGGGGTTCAGCAGGTGGGGTTTGGTCACCCAGAGGTTAACACTGTAGGTCCTGTGGGGTGGGTTAAACCATGGAAGAATAGGTAGGAAGAAATTAGAGCTGGGAAGCCCAGTCTGTGTCTTGCCATTTATTCACAAATTTTGGATGTCTCTGGCTTTGAGCTTCTCAGCTTGCAGTAACTTGCAGCTAATTCTCAGAGATTTGAAGGAACAGAAGAGGATTACTCACTTGTGAAAATGCTGCCCTGACCTTCTATGGGTGCTTTGGGTGTGTGGACAACAGTAATCAGGCTAAGGAAAGCTGAAGGGGCTTAAATCCATCTCGTATGAATGACAGGGATAACTTTTTCACAAATGCTTGTAGCCTTAAATCTTAAAAAGCTTAAATTGTATGGTAGCATCTCAAGTCCTGTTAAATCTGAGTCCGGATTCCTGTCTCTAAGAACCAGGCTCCACAAAGGGCCAAGCAATGAGAACTGATGTAACTAGATGAGACAATTATCACACTCCCCACACACCACCCTACCCATCTTTTTCAGTTCTTATATTTTGGCAAAGACAACTTTCAATTTTGCCAGGGTCTCCACAGCTTTTCCTGGGTCAGTGCTGCCCAAAAGACACAGTTACCCACTTGCTTGTTCTCATCCCACCAGCTGAGCACCAACTGCCTGTACCTAGCAGATTGCATTCCCTAGCCCTCCATACCAAGCTGAGTAGGGATTTCTTGCTGACTTATCCCACTGCCCTCCTACATCTCCCTGATACAAGTGGGCAGAATTAAAAGATGAGGCCACACCTAGAGTTTTTTTAACTGGATGCATTCCTTTCCCACGGGCCCTGAGCTTGTTTCTATGTAAAAATGCTTTAGGCTGTGGAGCTGCCTGTCATTTTGGACCATCTCTCCTACCTTTAAAGCTGTATCCTTACCTATATCTGACACTGCCTATTCCCTGCAGGGAGAGATACATGTCAGCAGGTGTTCCAGAGAGACATCTCTCATTATAACATGATTTTAAGTCCCAAGAGGATAGAACAGGGGAAAAGTGAGCGTTATTTCCATCAAGCGCTTCCTAAAGAATGCTTGCCAATGAGACTAAGACATGCAATGGGATTTCAGTAGTCCATATGTGTCATGTATTTGTTTTTAAGAATATGGTAAGGATAAAATGAAACAGACTACCATTTAGGGCCAGCTGCTTTGCTGAGACCCTTCTGCATGTTTTCCTTTAGACGAGATGATCCTCTGATTCTTGTTTTTCCAGTATCTCTTTTGACTTCATAGGCTAGATTCTGATCTTAATTACATTCTTTCAAATCAGGGGTGATTCCACTGACTTTAATTACTTCTGGTTTATGCTGGTGCAATTGAGCTCAGAATTTGACTTTTACAGAAACATAGTAACTGTTGTAATTAGAATATGCCAGTGTTTTGACAACTGTTCATGGAACATCTCTGTTTTGTCAGCCTCTGCCAAAAGGGAAATGCAATGTGATAATGGGCATTGGGAATAGTATGGGGCACCTCTGACAGTGATGACAATAAAGATCTCTATGAGAGGCTGCAACACAAATAGGTGAGAAATTCTG